ACGGTGAAGGTACGAATGAGCTCGTGTGGCAGTTGTTTGTAGTGCCGTGGCATGGAACTGTGGTACTAACTGAATATTGCCTGCTGTGCGCCACTAACTGGTATTATGCAGTGGTACAGTAATTATTCATTTTAAGGTGTTTGTTATTTGAGGCATTTGGTGCCATAGTGGCCCTACCAACATATGAGATTATATGGGTTGAACACCAATTGCTTCATTTAATGAATTATCCTCAATTTGAACTTACAAAAATATACAAATTAAAAAGCAGTAAAAGGAAGAAGAATTATCCCTGGTCAGAATTTTTTTTATGTATTTTAGTGTATCTTCTCCGATGATCAATGTCAGAAACCGGGTTGGAGGACCTGCTTGAAATGCAAGAAATTTTTTGAGATATTATTATAGAATTTTCCTCAGAGGCATTCTTCGTGTGTAAAGTAAGAGGAAAATGGGAGAGATTTGAACGATATAGGAACAGCTGTAGAATGAAGAAAATTAAATTGTACATTTCTGTATGGAAGTGCTGCTCGGGAATTTTCAAATTATAGGCATACTTGTCACAAGATATCTCCGAGCTTCATTGACCATTACAAATACAGTGGCCTACTATATAGTACTCTAAAAAATGTAGTCATTATGGAAACAGCGTTTTCTTTTCTGCGTATTTTAAATTGTGCAAGTTAAAAATATTCACTACATATTAGTGACTGGTTTTTTTTTTTTTTTATCCTATGATTGTGTTATAATGTTGCCCATTGTTTGAGGACTATTGAATGTATGAGTACATGTTTTAGCCATCTTGAAGTCATTGATTACCATTTTACTGTAAGAAAATTCTTTTATTTTTTTTATGTTAAATATTAGTGACAGTAGTTAAGTTTCAACTTGGAATCTTTCAAATCATCCTGGTCACTTACACAGATATAAGAAAAAAAATATATAAAAATATATATCAGTTGAATGACAACAAGTTACTTAAAGATAGGAGCACAGTCAGATCTTCAAATGTCATATATATTAATGCATGCCAGAATATGTGCAGTGTCCAGTATAATTACCCTTCAAGGAATATGTAATTGTTCCTACATGCATGCAAATAAACTTTAGCGAGAATGGTCACACTGATGGCTGCCAAGTCTTTATTTGCTTCCTGGAAGTATCTTAGAAGGAACCTTCTAGAGCTGTTGCGTCCCTTATTTTAGAGTAAGAGTCGTGCTCTGCTGTTTGTAGATGTAGTTGACAGGATATGATCCAGTCTCTTAATGGGCTGTCTTAACCCCTTGAAATTAAAATTATTTGAGTTAAAACATAAAACTATGGTTTAAAATATTTTACTTTCTTGTCAGTTTATGGCACAGATTACATGCTTTTTTGGGGTGTTTTCACATCATATTTTATTATCATGAGGAGCATCAGTATCCTGTCCATGGCTATGGCGGAAGCTTCCTTGCAGGCCCACCAAGTTGTGTGCACAGTTTCACTGACTCACCCCCACCATTTTGACTCCACGGACTACAAGTTAAGGCCTCTCGTAGGTGTATCAGTCAGAAAATACAAGGGCGTGTTATACATTTTCCATTATTTTACGTGTTTTTGATATGTGCGGTGATTCGCGGTAATGGAAATCACCTGTTTTGCCATATTTGAAACGTAAGTTTGGCCTGCGATGCTGAAAATCTTCTACTAAAATATTTTCATCATCACAGGCCAAATTCAGGTTTCAACAGCACTAACACAGATGAATTGAAAATGTAATTCAGGCCTTTTAGTTGAAACATCTGAAATACGGTCTGTCAAGTGAGAGGTAGCATGTTTTGCCCATTTTTGATCACAGACACGTGGTAGTAGTATAGTCATTTTCACAGTCCTGTTACTGGAGCCCTCCATTAGAGCTAGTGACAGCCCCCTCAGCCTCTTTTCTTTCGTGTGCTGTGTGCGTGTGGTCTTAGTTGGTTTGTTCCGCTTCTTCTTCCCTAGACATGTCGTTGAGTGTGTCTAGTTTGGAGGCTGCTAGCAAGTATTGCACGCTGCCCCGCTCTGGGGACTTTGCCATGTCCGGTGGCCCACGCAGGCGACCTGTCTCCACAACAGGTAGGTTGTCTTTCTTTTCTGGAATTTCTTCTTATGTAATAGAAGCATGTACTATATTTCCTTAATTTCTGTGTATTATTCCTAATGGGAATGTAATTTATATTCATCCACATATTTTGTCTCTAAAACATATTAACAGATTTTTATGGCATTTGATATGTTAGGTCTGTACCATAATTATTAAGGAAATGTCATTTTAGTTTATTATCACCTCAGCTTTGCTTAGAGACCAAATGAGGCATTATGATATGTCTCAAGTAAATTGTGGCCCACCATAAGAAGAATGTTTCAGTAAGATAAAGTATGGATCTCATTGAGATAAATATTTTCTTTTATGATATATTCTATGTGTGTAATAATAAAATACAAGGAAAAAATAACTTTCTTATCTTCACAGTGTGATTAAGTGTGCAAACAAAATTTTGGGGGTTAAAATTTTTGGAAGATGTCCACTTGGCAGACTGAGTTGGAGATGGGCAGATTATATTCAGATCGATCTCGGAGATTTGTGAGAATGGGAGATGGATGTAGTTATTTAAGGATTGTGGACTTGGGTATTATAGCAGTATTGAACCTTTGTGTTTCTATGTCAGTGTTTGTTAATTGGTTAGTTTATGCACTCTATGACATTGAGTATTTGCTAATTGACTTTTTAAAAAAATTTCATAAAATAAAATCTTAGATATGTTATGGATATAGTAACAGTAAACAAACTAGCAAATTAGAAAATTTTAGAAAAAAAATATGTTAACAAAAAAAAAAAGTCTCAAAATTGGGAGATACCTTGATGAGAAATGTGGTATGTACATGATACCATTCAGCATATTGGCTTCATAGCGTGTTCTTGGGTTGGTTTACTAAGGTAACCAGTTGACGCGGCTGATTGCCCGAGAAGATTTTATTGATTGTACTCGCCGCAAAAGTCTCAAATTCTATGTCTGTGTTCACAAAGTACTGTCTGGCCTCCATTTCTGATTCTCGTTCTGTACATTCTTACCCACTCCAGCTTACGGTGTTACGTAGTGTTGTAGCAAATAGATTAGTGCAGGAACTTCTTACTTGCAGGGTACCCCAGCAACACTATGAGGAACACTCTTCTTCGCCGCAGTTCAGTTCAAGTGCAAAAGCCTCCCCCTCCTATCCGCCGGACTTCGTCAATCTCCAGCAGTCCTGTCGTCCGTCAGAATTCCAGTGGAGCCACCACTGGAATGGGAAGCATGGCAAATGGAAGCCTTGAGAACCTGCCACCTCCACCAGCATTCCTACTTGACAGCACCAGCAGCAGTAGCAGCAGTAGCATCAATAGCAGTGGTGGGGGGTCTTCAGTGGCGGCGGGGTCAGGCATCAGTGTCGCAGAGACTGTGCGTACACTCACAGAGCTGAAACACACACCTGCAAGTCCCAGTGCTGTGCGTCGCAACACGGGGAGCTTTCGTTCGCAGAGTGCCGATCGTAGGGGATCGGGGTCTACAAATGAAGGTTCAGGAGGTCTCATTGCTGCTATTGGTGCCAAGTTGGCCCCAACACTGAGTCCCAGAAACTCACGACGTCACTCTGAAGACAGTGGGGGAAGTCCAAGTGGTGGCAGTAGTAGATTGCTTCAGCGCGGTGTAGTTGGACCTGGACAGGGTTTTTTGCAGGCTCTGAATTCCAAGTTAGCAATGCAACAACAGCAGCAACAGATAGCAGCTCAGCAACAGATAGCAGTTCAGCAACATAAGGCAGCTATGGTTCGCCGTTTAATCGCCAGTCGCACAGTGCCCGACCCTGCCATTTGCCATGAATCTCTCATGGATCAAATCAAGAGGGGTACCACACTGAAGAGAACTGGTACTATCAATGACAAGTCTGCCCCCCATATTCGTCAATAAGATGTGCTAAACTCTGTCACTTGTTACACTTCTAAAACTTAGGTTTATACTGACAAGGGCCTCCATATACTTAGCTTAGACCTGATTTTTTGCACAGGATCATCAGATTTTTTTTATTCATACAGCATTATGGTTAAACAGAATTTTATGTTTGAAGTGGTGGGTCTTACAAAGTATAGTTTGGTTTCTGCACACTTTTATGGTTATACCCATTTCTATGTAAATGGTGATGAGTTTACAACAGTGAAGTGAGGTTATAAGAATGCAGGTCCTAGGATGCTGATGCGTGGAATATAGTTTATTTCATTAAATAAAAGAATTTGTATATTTAATGAGAGTTCCTTATGCGTGTGTAGCACAGAATAAAGACTAGTTTAGTTGGAGTAGCTCATTTCCAAGGTTATCATTTTGCCAGTAAAAGCAGAGAGTATATAAGCAGAATTAGGTAGGTCATGACAGGTGTTTCTCTTTGTAAATGAAACTGACAGAAGGGATCTTAACTATATGGAGGTAGGTCAGCCAAAGTCTTGAACTTTTAAATAAGATTTTGTTTTTGTAAAAGCAAACAAATGCAGATATTGATTGGCATTCAGAATATAACAAAACGTTTTCTTCACTGCCATTTCTATAAAGTGGATTGTGAAACTAGCATCAGTAGGATGCTGTAGATTAAGAAAGTTGAAATTATAACATTTTTTAGGTTATCTTGGAGTTGTGCAGAAATACATGTTCCGTATTGTAAGGATTTGAATTTTTGCTACAGGTGTAAATCCTGTTTGCTCTGAAGAAAGGTGAGGATGTTAGGAATTTATTGAGAATTGCTAAGATAGAGATATTGTAAGGGTCAATTTTATGTTAGAAATTCAACTTTTGATCTCCCTGTCCTGTTTACTATAGATAGTGGATTGGGACAGCTGATCATTCTTGAGGATTTGTATTGTTTGAGGCCTTCACCAGTGACTGCTTAAACAGAGGACATGTACATATTGAGTATTTCATAAGCAGCAACAAATAAAAACATACAAAAAGTCCTACAGATGTTTGTGCTGTAATATTTGAAGCACCTGTTATAGTTATGTATGTAAAAATGTTTGGGATTTTGAGAAATTTATAAATAATATTTTTAAATTCTTGTGGCACAGTATGAAACATCTATCCACCTTGTTTCCTTGATTTTGGGTGTCAAATAACCTGTATATTACAAGATGGAAATTGGTTGGTACACTTTACATTTTGAGGTTATGATAAAGGATTCAACTTATATTTTCAGGTTCTGGTATTTTGTAGTAACCTTGTCATTGCAGAAATAGAAAACTTTGGTGATTATAAGACACAGATTTCAATCTATATCTATATGGGAGGTAAGACTGCATTCCTAGTTAATTATTGTTCATGCTATGTACATGTCTTATGTATAAGTTTTCAGTCCAACTGAGACTTAAGAATTATTTGATGTTTGTAGATACTGGCTTTGAAAATTATGACAGGAAAGGGATAATTAACTCAAGTCAGAATATTCTCAATATTACTACCACCATCAAACTGAAGGACTGTTTCTTCAATCAGTAAGCTTGGGTAACTGATAGCTTGCAAGAGAGTAACAGCAAAGTGTATGTTGTACTTTATCTCAAAGAGAATTGTTTACAAAAGTGCTTCAGGGAATATGTGGCCCAGGTGGTACTTAAATCAAGGCCTACAGAAGTAATCTTTCTTGCACACACAAACTATTTGTTTATACGTTAACAATAGGATATATTAATTTATTTTGAAACAATGTTACGTGTTATTGTAGTTCTTCAAATTATAAGTGATTATATAATGTTGCAGTATTATTTTAAGTTTGCTGCGTATTATTTTGAATCATGATATTTTGTGCTTATCTTGCCAGGTTCTGTGTTTGTTTAATTTTCATGGTCTAACAGAATGACATTACGGAATTCTGACTTCGTAAACAAAGTTTCCCATTTTTAAAAAAGGTATTAATTTCTATTAATTACTTATTTTTCTCATACATATCTTATTCAGCAGTTACTTTTCTTTGTTCTTACGTTCCAACATATCTTATTCAGCAGTTACTTTTCTTTTTTCTTAAGTTCCAAGTTGCTGATGATGTTTATATGATAAATATTATCTCATTATAAGAACATTGTTGGTGAAATTGCTAACTTCATGCTTCAGCATTTACAGTAGTGCTATAATTACGAGTGATCTATTTTGAAATTCACTTCTTGTTTGAAATTTAGCTTTATTCCCTTTGTATAATCATATTAATTTGAAGGACGTGGGGCGTGGTGAAGGGAGGTGTTATAGTGTAGCAGACATTTTTCCTTTCAGGTTTGTAATTGTAATAAATTATTGTATCAGAAAAAGTTTTTTTTTTTTCATTTTATGAATCAAGGAGTTCTGTTTATAATAAAAATTGGTGTTTTTTACTTTCAATACAATTATTTGAACCATTGTAGGTACAATAACCTCCCTTTACCTTTATTGATTATGGACATGTCATATGATGATGTGAACCAGATAAAGTGTAATGATATTTTGGTTTGTACTTTAATTAGATTTCATATCACAGATAGGGTAATGATCATACATATATCTTAATGTCAACCCCTCAAAAAGCATAGAAATTACTGCAAGTAATCAGTTAGCCATCGCTTCCAATGGAAAGTATTAATATAAGTTTATAACAACTATTATTATTTTGTTAAAAGTTTGTGTAGAAATTGGTACTTCCATTAGATTAGAAGGTGTGCTGTGTAGATACATAGTCTTGATCTTATGAGATTGAGGGGCTCCAGAATATTAAAATAAAAATACCAACACAAATATTAGGTGTTGAGTGGTTTCTCATAATTTTTGATGTTTTAATCTGGTGGAAGTTATTTCTACACAAATTTTTGGCAGCAAAATTTTAAGGATTTACTCATTTTGGAAAGACCCTCAACGTTTCCAGTGGACATGATGACTGAAGCAGCTGTATAGATGCTGTATCGCATGCACATTCTTTCTTGTCTGTGCAGACTTCCTGAATTATTGCTCGCTTGTTTTGTTTCATGTATTGTCATAGATATAAGTAAACATAGGCTATTCTGAGAACTGTAAATCAGTTCTGTACATAATTGTTTTCTACATATATTTAAACACATAGAAGGTGGTGTAATATACATTATATATTCTGTGTTACATTTTCAAGGTCTTGTGGGGGGTAAATCAGTGATATTGATATAGCAGGAGGAATGGTTTTTGTGGTGTGTGTATGTGTGTGTGTGTGACACAGACCATTATGACTATCGGTGTGAACTGCGGGATGGCCGTCATGTCATTGGCTCGAAATAGGTTTGTTGTCAAATGTCTCGCAGTCCAAAAAAGACAGTGTGTCATTATATATGCACACTGTATAGGACATATATTTAATTATCAATATTTAAACAGGTATAATCAATCAGTCTCCATGTTTGGATGGATCTGACAGTGTATTACTTGTAAAGGGACATTAGTGTTTCTTCTCTCTTGTAATGGACCAAGTAATCAGATGTACTTGTCTCTGTGTTTGTCCATCATATGACAGTTCTTTAAGTACGTGTGTGTCATCTTTGTTTTCTGTATCCTTACTACATATCGTTGTGTGATGTATTTTCAGTACAGTTGTGGTTGAGGAGTATCTGGCCCTTTCAAAGGGCTCTCGTATTCAGTTGTATTGTGACTTGTACAGATGGTGGGTATTGTATTTGTGTTTCTTCCTTATTGGAGCAATATATTATGTTGTAATATTGGTAATGCTGTTCCGGATTTTTTTATTGCCTTGTTTTTTTTTTGTGAGGGTTTGAATCATAAAGAAGTAAATGGCCCTTGGAGGCATTATAATGTTCCTGAACGGTTAAAGCATGTTTTGTGTTGTACAGTTGGTATTTATGTACCTGTTTACGATTTCCTTCCATTTTCTTAGAATGTACTTGTATAGGGTTTCGAAACACGATTGTGCCCTTGCACAAACTGGCATATTGTGAGAGAAATTTGTGTTGGTATTCGTGTTCCTTTTGATTGTGGCCTTCAAGTTTGTGACACTGTATAGTCTTGTACGTAGTTTCCAAAACAATGGTAACAACATACTAGACTACATGATGTCGTGACACAGGTGACCACAGTTGAAGTCTTGATTTCTGTGAAAACCTGTCTTGGATTCCCATTCCTCTTTGTTTAAACATATCCACGTCTTACGTGGTCTGCGTTTTGGATTTAGAATGTCGTTCTTTCATAAACAGGCAGTGTTTTCGCTGTTACCTTGTTCTGATTTTATTTAGTTTAACGTTTTTTATTTTTTATTATCTTAGGTTAGGAAGACTTCTGTGTGTATATGCGTAGTAAATTAATTGCATTATTAAATTGCCCCAGAATTAATCATTTGAGTCAAACTGCTCAGTCTTTTCCGTTGTAGGACTTGAGCTGGTGTGAATTATAGTGGAGGTAAGTCAGTGTCTTCGTTTTCTGTAAAAAGTTATACAAAGTAGGATTTGAAGTTTTACAGTGGTGCATACGAAGGTGGCTGTCTTAAGTGTTGTAGCAGCATGTAATCTGGCAGAGTCATAAAAACATCAAATGAACGGTGTTACTCTTTTGTTAACTTAAGGCTGCAGTAATATTATTACAATGATTCTTGATTTTTGTATAATATGATATGTAAGACTTAATTTACTAAAAATGAATAGAAAGACAAGACTACTCTCATTCTGACTGGCTCAATTAGTATACCTGTGTATACCTTGTCTCTCTGAGTATTATACCTTTGTTTCCCCCTCCCAGACATCCACCCAGAATATGAGACGTTTTCTGATGCAAGGAAGCTTTGTGGAATGAAGACTGACAAAATGTGAACAGAAGAAATTTGGCTACAAGGTATGTGACTGTAGAATCCAAATATAACACTCGTGTAACAAGTTAGTGAATGTTCCGGCTTCAAATCTCGGCCTGGTGACCAGCTGCCCTGACAGTTTTCTCGTGTACTCTTAATGTAACTTTATCTGGGTGTAAATCAAGGTTTTCTTTGTTCCCTGCTTTACATTTCGTAGACAATATTGTTTCTTTTTGGGCCAAAACATGGTTACACTTCAATAAAAGCTACGTAGGTTAACTTTCCTATTGTTATTTATTTGTATGTTTCAAAATAATGTTACAGGATATTTTTTATGGATTTTTTTCAGGAACTGTTGAACAGTTTACATTTACAAAATGTGTAAAAACATAATACAAATTGCAAAATTCAACAAACACATCATAATTTAGACATTATGCATTTTCATTTCACTCCTTATTGCAAACACTCATTTCAAATGCAAAATTCTGTGTGAGTTTATTTTTTTAATTGTGACTTTGTATTATAAAAATTGCTCAGAAATATTTTAGCCCTATTACAGATACAGATTTATAGAAAACTGAACCTCTCTCTTACTGACCCTTCAGTGTGGGTTCGCTCTTGTACTGTATAGTTTTTATTTAAGGATTTTCTGCATCTTCTCATGGGGATTGCTGTGTGTGCCTTTACCTGATTCAGAAGAATCCTTTGGTATTTATAAAACTTTTACCTATGAATAAGCTCAGTTGGTAAAGTGACAGGTGAAGGGTAGACAAGCAGGATTCAATTTCAGGCAGAATTCTCCTTGTTGCCATAAATCTGGATTGACTGTTTGTACTGATAATGTGTAGATTATCTGAAATTGAAATTATATTTCCCTTACAAGCTTTAGTTTAGCCCCTCAATGCCAAATTACTTCAAAATTCAATGCCTCGTTTCAGACACGAAATGTGCGCACTGGCAGACACACGAGAGTGGTATAAACATGCACTGCTATGAGCGTGTAGAATGTATCCTGCCATGACAGAAATAACATTTTTCGGGTCTTGTATACAGCATGTCGCCCCACACTGAAGGATTAATTCATTGCTTATTCATATTCGCACTTAACTTTTATTTGGTACCTTTAGCCTCTATAAATGAAAACAGGTGAACACAAAATGAACACAGAATGAGTCATTGCTTAGTCTAAGCTCAGCAATTGGTTGTAGTATGTGATACAGTGTAGGAAGTCGTCATTAGATCAAGTAGAAGTTGTTAAAATTTGCTTTCAGACATTTATAGAATTTGTTTCTAAGCCAGTGTACTGGGACAGCCACAATTTGCTGCTATGGAGAAACCATGTGTCCTTTATATACTTTCATTTTTGAAGCCATTCACTTCGCTAGTCTCCCAATTTCATTCTTGCCATTCACTTCTAAAGAAAATCCATCTCCAATACAGCGTCACTTTTCATTGGTTTATTTGTCATGGGGGAAAAGTACTACCAATACCTCTCAGAATGATCACCCAAAACTGTGGTAACTGATGGGCATATGCCCTTTCACGGTGCTTTGAAGCCATAACCTATATTTATAGTACTTCACAATCTAGTGTAACATATTTTCACTTTGGAGGAATGCCAAGAATTTCTTTTCATTTCCCGTGATGGAATGCCGTCATGCATTTCTATGTGGTATCACATTCTTTCATTCACATGGTATGTCCCATGAACTTCTTATATTTCATGCCTGAATACCACATATATTCGTTTAGCCAGGGCAGAATTTCCGTGGTTTTCCTTCTTGATCGAGTGTCGTCATGTTAATAGTATGATACGGTGGAGCGTCATGAATTTTTATGTATCTGTTGCACAATGGCAGGATGTCATGAGTTGTCAAAGTGACGTGTAGCTTTAACCAGCCGGTTGCTTGACGTCATGTAGTGTTGACACTCGCCATGACCGTGTAGTGCTGCTCCTCGGCCACTAATCTCGCTGGACTGGGAGACATGGGCAGGTAGTCGGGCTCGGGCTGGGGTGGTGTGTCAGCCCCCCACGCAGAGCGATGGGTTGGACAGGATACTGAGGGCCCACGACAAGGATCACGTTGCAGGCGCGGGGTCCACGTGGGAGGTGTCCTGTAGCACCACTCTCTCCCCACAGCCTCGTGGATGCTGCTGTAACACATCTAGGATAAAGCTGTGCAGGGTAACCAAAGTTTGGTGATTATATGTGGAGAAATTTAAATTTATCAGAATCTGTACTGGTGATATTTATGCACAAATTGAATCAATGTGTTGCATGTCAGTATTGGTCTTCTGGGTTATGATGCTGCGTGGAATTGTAGGTAGTTACAAATGTTTTTTAACAGCGTCTACCTATGTGTCCTCATGGCATCACAGCCCAAAAGAACATTGACAGTGATTTTTAATGTTAACAAAATAGATGCAAAAGTGTCTGAAACATAAAAAAGTGAAAGTTCTGATCCTTTAAAATTCTGTTATATGTACAGGGGCTACACTGTACTTTTTATATTCTATCACATAAAGTGGGCAGTGTTTCACAGCCACGTCCCCTGTTCAGTTTCCCATCAATATATTAATTGTTCACAATAATAAACATCCAAAACCATCAGAGTCACTGCCTACGGACTCTCGACGGCTGGAGTTATTTTACAAGAGAGAGGTGTACATTTTTCTTTGCCATCGCTGTGCCCAGACAGATTCTGGTGTGTCCCAATGCTTTTCTCTGGCGGATAAGGCAGCCACAGTGTGAACTTGTCCTGTATCCCCATAGATCTTCAAAGCATGGTGGTCTGAAATGCAAGGTGTGTTGTTGGGGCTTCTCTTCATTCAGTTCATTAGAGCACTGTAATCAACTGAGCATCCCATCCAATGGGTTTCCCATGTAACTTACCTGTCAAGGAAGTGGTGTGTCTGCTTTCTTGGTGGCAGTGGTGGGGGTGAGTCACCCTTGTCTTCAGTGAGACAACCCCAGTGCAAGGTGGCAGGATTCTCATAGTGGTTGGTGTTGTTGTGCGCGTCTCCATCTGCAATCTCCTCGTAGATGCCAGACGCTATGGAGATGCCCGACTCTCTCCGCAGAGGAAGAGAGTTGTCCCCGGGCTCCAGGCGGCCGCTTATGAGCTCCTCGTCGCACTCGTCACTGTCCAGGCTCCCCACTTTTTGATACTCGTGCAGGGACTCTGTATCCGCCTCGCTGCAGGCCGGAGTGGAGAACAGGAGCCCGAGACCTGCCGAGATGAGACTGCTGGCCACCTGAACCAAGCCAGACAAATTTATTGGCATTTTTTTAATCAGAATGCTAATGAGATATATACAATCAGCTCACGTAAAACAAATTAAAGGAACGTATGCATAGCAAACGCTTGCGGAACGTTTGTCAGAATTTGACTTGTGAATTTTTAAAATGGGGGCAGTGACCTTCACATGGATGGGCTGCCTGGCCGGATATCATCATCAAAGATTCCACTACATGGTTCTGTTCTGTTTGAGGATTCCCGAAGTTACCAAAGTAAACTGGGGAGTTGTGCATCTCGGAATGAGACAGAAATTCGTGTAATTCTTCATGCAAAGTGTCTGTTATAGTTGGAACATGTCAATAAATTGTAGTATACTCAATTTATATGAACCAAATTTAAAATTTTATAATTAAATTTGAATGTTAACTGCCCATTAATCATAATCCATGTAGTAGATCTACATATCTTTACCAAAATTATCAGAATGGCTCTTGGGCCCACTGAATCTCATATCAAGTAGGTACTGATGTACTTTCCTTGGGAGTAAAGCGGCCAGGTTGCAAAGCATTAGGGACAACTTTTGAGATGAAGCATGTTGAAGGACGTACACGTGGCCTTATGTGTATGGACATCCTCACCTTGCCACCTATGGCCTGCACGTATTCATCTGAAGTGGCCGATGTCCTCGAGCTGCTATGGGACCTCTCCAGGACCCCCTTGTGCCTCAGAAAGTGGTGTTTCTGCTTTGGGCTGCATTCGCCAGATGCGAAGCAGTGCAAGTCACTCTCACTGCGACTCAGGCGCCGGGCGCCGCGGCGTAGGGGTGGTGGGGAGGGTAACGGAGACGAAAGGAGTCTCCGTACTCTGCCACTTGTCAGCAGCCGATCCAACAGCTCAGCGGCTCGAGGACAGAACACGTGGATCTGCCCTGCTCCAGCGGGGAACTCGCTGCAAGGAATCGGTGTCTTTAACACAAAATGCCACAGAAATGAGAGGGCTGAACTGAGGGAGGTGTGCTCTTTGTGCGTTGAGGCTGCTAGGGGTTGTTTATATCGGTATTTGGGCGCTTCAGGGGAACTATAAGTATAAAATATCGGTTTACGTTCCCTGACGACAAGTCATTTCGTGATGTCGCCATAGTCATTCAATTGTCAGACAAGTTATAAGATCTTCACGTAACGCGTCATCTTTGTTTAATGACGTTTTATTCTGTTCTAAACTATTTAATTTTTTTTTCGAGATTTGACTTTTTCACAGCGGTGAGTATGAAGATTTCTGTCTTCTGGGTTGTCTGGTCGATGTTAACCAACGTTTCAGAGGTCATACTGCCTCCATCATCAGGGCGATGAAGATTTCTGTCTTCTGGGTTATTGCGCTGTGTAGTCTGGTCGATGCTAACCAACGTTTCAGCGGTCATACTGCCTCCATCATCAGGGCGATGAAGATTTCTGTCTTCTGGGTTATTGCGCTGTGTAGTCTGGTCGATGCTAACCAACGTTTCAGCGGTCATACTGCCTCCATCATCAGGGCGATGAAGATTTCTGTCTTCTGGGTTATTGCGCTGTGTAGTCTGGTCGATGCTAACCAACGTTTCAGCGGTCATACTGCCTCCATCATCAGGGCGATGAGTATGAAGATTCCTGTCTTCTGGGTTGTTGCGTTGTGTAGTCTGGTCGATGTTTACCGACGTTTCAGAGGTCATACTGCCTCCGTCAACAACTACAAATCCATCAAACATTCAGAAACCAAGCAAGTCTTAAGACTGAACAGAATTTTGTTCCTGGATAAGTGGAATTTTAAGCCACATTTTGTGGCCTTATAATTACGTACCGTTTTCCGATTCTTGGTTCGTGGGTCAAAAACTAACCAAACGCCTTGTCCTTACAATTCCGTTGTTTTATGATTACGCATCCGCTGCTGAATTTACGTAGCAGAACGTGAGGTAACAGAACTATTGTGATACATAAATCACTCGTGGCCTACTTTATGGCGCACAAAGAGGGACTCAAGAAAACCGTGAAGGAATTCAGCCAAGATAACCTGTCTGTGACCGAGATTCGAACCGGGTACGTTTAGAACGCGAACCATTCACGTTACCTGCTCGTGTGAATTATGCAGATCTTGTGTTCATCGTCCTTGATTTCAGTGGCCGCCAGGTGGAACTGGTGTAGCTGCTGCCATTTCCATGAGCAAAGGAGTTGTTCCGAGCTGGGGTCATGCAGAGTAAGGCGATGCGGTCCCACCACCAGGTTACCGTACAACCCAGTGAGACCAGCCACTCGCGAGTGGGCGTTATCGATGAACGAGATGGGGAATCCCCCGTTCACTGCGAAATAAACGTGAAATAAGTAATGCCCGTCCAGACTTTACTGCCTCTGATCGACGCTGGGGTTCTAAGCACTGCCCTGATATTGCCTACCCTAACTAGGGTTTCCATGGTTTTACTCAGCTCCCCCAGAAAAATTATGGGATATGGTTTTAACCAGGGCTGTGGAGTCGGTACTAAAATCTCCGACTCCTTCATAAAAGCTTTTATGTATTCATGAGATGATAACAACTTCGAATACGATATTAAAATACAATAAAATCTGGAAGAAAACATCATTTTGATATCTGATAAACATCTGACTAAAAAGTTGCATTTAAGAAATTATATTTAAGTTTATATAATTTATACACCTGAAGATAGTTCATTTGGAACTGAAACATGTCGTGTGAAATGTGATGTTCTAATTGTAAATCGAACATTTCGATAGAGAACATCATTTTAATATATTTTAAATATTTAAATGTTAATTATGGTAATATTTTAATATTTAATAGGAATTTTATTGTGATTAGACTGACAAGATTTAAACAAATAAATACGTATTAATAAGGGTAAACCTACTAAAATGGTAAACGACACCATAAGAGATTTCATCACCACCACGTGAATCATCAGCCTGCCTTTTAGAATGATAACCTGTATTTAAATATACGTCTAATGGTTATTGCAGAAATCGGTTGATTTGTATTCTTAAGGTACCGGAGCCAAAGTTACAAAGCTTTATTCCCACACCACGTGGCTCAACGCGTCGTTGAATCTCCCTAAGCGCGAGGCCACCGGCGGTTCACACGGAATAGAAATTGTTCTTAAGATTTTATATGGAGGTCGGAGTCGGTACATTTTTTCCGACTCCGACCCCACAGCCCTGCCCCCCAGGAAAGTCCTGGGATAGGACGTTCAGTTTGCCACTGTTCCTTCCAAATCCTTGCCCGTTAATCATTTATAGTCATCTGATCATGCGACTTTACACGGCCTCCATAGCAGAATAAATGATTTTATATCTTAATTGCATCATGCTTGTGTTTCAATACAATATTTTTATTTTCCGTCGTTTACACAAGCTTATTGTTAAAATCATATAAAATTTCACATAAAATTGTTACATTTTAAAATTGACGACATGTTTCGATATACAATCTTATCATCGTCAGGTCTATCAAAATTAAAATTAAAATCTGGTGTATCTGTTGTTGTGGGGACAAATGCCCCGGAAAATACTTTAAAAAAATAACGTAAAACATGCCACGACATCTCCTTCCAAATCCTTGCCTACTTACCGCTCATCATTCGACGTGACCTACGCAGTTGAGGCAGCGTCGTTAAACGCCGGTCCAATCAAAGCTGATGGCCACGTACCTTGACTCCGATCTGCAAAGGATGGACTTGGGTGGGACTCGAACACAGCTACCGCCAAGTAGAACCTGCACTCCGCAATCTGAGTTGCTCCTCACTGTGACCCACTGTTTCTTCCACGCCTGGTTGCCGCACAAATGAAAAACTTACGTGAAACTGCTTAAGTAGTTACGAAGACTGGCATTGTTTTGCTGCGATAAGGTTCGGACTAAAATGCGCGAAACATGTTCTTTACATGAAAGCCATTACAGCTTTGAAGCCGAACAAGGGAGAGAGAGGAGACAGAGTACGGGCGGGGAATTTATATTGCGACTACGAAGGTCCCCAGGCAGAGCCCGCTCGTCCTTCTGGAAGTGGAGAAGGAAAGAACTGGTCTTGCCTTGCTCCATTCGTACACAATTCTGAACACTGATATTAGTTTTAGAGGTTATATTTTCATAGCTAAACATTTTTTATCTCTTTGAAGCCATTCAAATAACATTTAAGAATTCAGTCCGTACCGCGAAGAAAACACAACGCTTCACCATTGCAAAGATCGACTGGTTAACCCCTGAAGCCGAAGCTCGTCTAAATAGCATTTAAGAGTTCAGTCCGTACCTCAAAGAAAAAACCACGCTTCACCATTAAAAAGATCGATTGGTTAACGCTGTTTAAGGAAATAGTCGACGTTTACAGCGAGAATCATACAAGACCCATGCAGAATTCACAGTTTATGATTGTTAAAGCAGGTGGTACGTATAGTTACCACTGGGCTCTGAAGGGTTAATGAGCACAAGTGTTGCGTACCTTCCAGGGTGCCAGTCCTCGCCTGCGTCTGACTCTTGCGGGAACTTTGACGTCCAGGAACCCGCTCATCTCGCCGGGGGATCCCGCCGACATCTTTCTGTCTAGAGGCCTTCGCCCCAGCAACCTGCAACAGAAGCGCCACAGGTGAGTGGAGTGATTAACCAAGCCTGCTCACTGCTTATCCGAACTGCTCGCAGTTTTTCCAATCCCTTGCCAAAACGCGCCCCGAATTATTCCTTGCGTCCGTTTCTACAAATCTTGTGTTGATGTCTTTCGGGTGATTGCGTTGTGTTGTCTTCTGGTTGTATAGTGACGTTTCGGGGAACATGCCGTCTCAGACCCTGTAGATGGAGGCCACATTTCCCCCCGAAACGTTGCTATCCAACCAGAAACCTACGCACTGTGATGATCTTGTCTTGTGTTTTGGCGAAGTGGCTTGCTTACAGTTAGATAATCGTCCTTACAAGCATCTAATGCTTCGAGTTCTTTGTGGAATTTGTGTTTTTGAATAACAAATTATGAACAGCGAAGCTTTAACTTTGAAATGATGAGCGTACAGGACGTCAAAGTGACGTGGCTCACAGCCATTTTGAAGTTCTTTAATCTCAACGTGACTCAGAAGAACAGAAGAAGAGAGGTAAGGAAATGTTGAATATGGAGAAGAATCATGTAACGAGAGAAAATACAAAGCGAAACAGCAAAATTTACGAAGTAATGTCAATTTATGTGCACTGGGGAGATGACAATACGAAGGTTTACAACACAAGCCAGAAGATTAGTATAAAAAGGAATTTTAATCGCATGAGAAGGTACATTAATGTTTTTTTATAACTGTCACTGTTGTTGATTGTGCAAAATCCAATGTATTAAAACATTCCACCAACACGAAAGACCGGTTTGTCGTGTCCGGCGGATGTATTACGAAACTCAAACGAAGTTAATGCGTTCCTTGATATTCAATTGTTATCGCAAACGTGCAAGAAATGAAGATGGCGATTATTACGATGAGGAAGATTAAGAAGGCCGTGATATTAATGAAGTATAAAAATACAACTAAATGAACGTGTTAGTGACAATCTCTCACCTTCTTACAAAGCAGAGCTACCTGTCACTCGCCCGAACACCTCGGCGGCACGAAGACTTTTTAAGATGGCGCTGGAGCGCACTAAGTGACGCGACAATTGAATATCGGCTAAAAAATACGATCGGTATTAAGTGATACTTGAAAAAGTATGAAATGGAGTTTTTAATATAACGATTCGACGTCAGATTAATTTGTTGTGGTTCGTATAAATGCTTGAAAAGATCCTTGTTTATTGATTGTCAATTCTCTGAATTCAGAGCCACAGTTCCATTGACGCCATGTTGTTATATTTGGAATGGGCAGTACGTATAGCATGCACGAGGGGCTGTAAAAAAATGTGTACAGAATTTTAACCTTGGAACTTGTTTTAAATCGGACACTGGCTACAATGTTCAGCTTCTGTGAGAAGGCACTGGACGTTCCAAGTTCCACAAAAGGCGAGTAATTTCTTGATTAGCCGGTCGAGTTTCTGCCAACTTCCCTGCAAGTGGTTAGTCGTTATTCATGCGAGCTGACACGCAACCTCGATATGGTATCAGCGGTTGTAACAACTATTTTAATGAATGAGACGCTGACAGTGACTGAGTTTCTGCAGTTCGTAAACGTTTTAAATCGGTTAGAACGCTGGCCTTGTAATCCTGGGGTCTCGGGTTCGATTCCGGGCGGTGCCCGAATTTATAACTTGTGTTGGGCAAGGCCGTGGTCTAGGCAACACGGAGTTTTCCTCCGTGGCATCCCAACAATTACTCCATTCACACACAGAAGAAAGCAATGGCAAACCACTTCTGGATCATCTGCCAAGAACGTATATGAACAGGTCCCAGTCCGAGAAAATATTGTTTAGGTGAGTTACCTCTGGCTATGCATTGTCTGAACCAGACGCACATACAGCGCGTAATTCGTAGTTAAGTAAGGAACTAGTTACTTGATTAAGTAAGTGGTACTTGCGACTCTAAAATTAACCTGTTTAAAGCGATGTTACTACAGTTTACTCACACGCGACTCAGAGCTTCACTGGATTCGCAGAGAGGGTACACGCTGGTTACATTTCAAGTAGATTTGTTTTTGGAGGAGTTAATATCACAGACTGTAGAGCTGAAATTTTCTTCTAAAGGATAAATTTCTTTCAGAATATTCGATTATTCACGAGGTCCATTCGGTCACCGTGGTTCGTTTTCTGTTGATTACGTATTTTCAAGGAATCCGTTAAATATCCAGGACTTTTATTCTCACATATCGTCACATGCTTCGCGGAGACAGGATGTCAGCTCCCTCGTCTAACCCCTGAGCCGCAGGACTACCCATTGTCGGCTGTTCGGCACTGCGTTCTCAATATATTCGTAACTTATGACGCGCCATACTGCGGTGATAATGAGCTGGGTCACTGAACAAACGTTTCCTCCTGATGATGGAGGCAGAAAGAACCTTTGAAACGTCGGTCAGTTTCTATCAGACGCAGCATGGCAGAAAGGAAGGTATTTCGGTACGTCCAATGTGTCCGTTGGGTACAACTTGCGGGCCCCCGGTTGAAAAACACCGTAGTACACAATAAACAAGAGAATTTGCTGTGAAGCACGCGGTTCTCCTCAGGCAGTCGGGCAATTGTTAGTTTCCGCGCCGGCCACGCGAATCTGGCCTCCCACCTGCGTGACGTCACGAACCGGGATGGGCTGGGAACAAAGAAACCTACTTACATTCAGTTCAGTTCCAGGGCCGCTAGAATAATTCTGGGACAATTGGAAGGTCTTTCACGGAATAAAAGTGACTGTCGAGAAGGACTACAATGATACTCTTATACACGCGGTATTAGACCTTACGTACATAGAACGAATTGATGATTTCATATGTAATGTTCATTCACAAACGAAGGTCTGTCTGTTACCTCAGCCCTTCATTGTTGGTCGGTCACCGAATGGCCTTTTATTTCTCGCGGCGTGGGGGAAAGGGAGGTCGTAAGGAGCAGCAAAAAGGCTTTGTCCCTTTGAAGAGACCTGACCCTGATATAAAGGCCAATGTCCGTCATGTTTGACCGTTTGTGCTATGCAGAAACAAATGACGGCTCTAATAGAAAGAAATTTAAACGAGGCTGTGGTTGGGCCTGCGTTTGGCGGGAGTGAAGATAAAAATTTACTCAACTGCAAATTCCCTGTCACCAATAATACCAACATGGCGTTCATGCGAACCCTTTCTTTGAAAGACCAAGTTCTACGCTTTGAGTGTGCAGCTGTTACCTGAGGAGGACTTCTTTCTTGTTCCTTCACCTGCCTTCCACAGTGGGACAGACAGCGACTTCGCTCCGCCGCCATATTGCTATTATACTTCAGGAGTCGTCGTGAAAAACTTGTCTATTGCCTGTCACTAGGCAAAATTCTACGCGATAAACGAGCTTCAAAATTGTATTGTCTTTAATTCAATTAACCGAACAAAACCCATTAATAAAATTTAATAAATTACTACTTAACTAACAAATTTAAGACAAAGTTACCCTTGGGAATAATTAAGACGCTGTGAAGACATTCAAGTGGAGTTCATGTACTTCGAGTTCAGTGGAATATGAGTCCGTACCGCAAAGAAAACACACTTTACCATTACAACGATCAATTGGTTAACGCTGTTTAAGGAAATAATCGCTGTTTACAGGGAGAATCGTACGAAATCCATTAATTCACTCTGTGTGTATAGTTGCGGTGATTGTTAAAGCATGTGGTATATATAGTTACCACTGGACTAAAATGCGTTAAAAGCCAGCCCACTTACTTAGTGTCTCTTAATTTCAGTTGTGATGTCGAAATGTGGTAAATTTCGATTCATGGCCAGGCATAGGAATTTACGACAGTGTTTTGTTTTGCGCAAAGCTAACGGGAATGGCAAAGTGCCCGAATTTATTCGTCTCGTGATTTTATGAAACATAACGCAGATTGCGCCCGGCAGCCATCATAATCTATGCCTAGTTTCATGTCTGCCTCCAAGACCCGCATCGAGTTTCTCTTTTGTTATTGCCCTGTGTTGAACATTAACGGTCATTGTATAAAACTCCCAGTCCATTCCCCTTTAAAGGTTGACTTGAAAACTGGGCCATAAGGGGCCCGCGGGCCGTAGTGGCCAGTTAGGCGGAACGCCATGATGGTATTTCGCAATATGCAGATTGAACGTTCTTACGATTTCCTGTACTCATTGACTGGTTGATAACTGGCGGTCCACAGGTCGATTACGGCCTATTTATTCGATTAATTAATTGCGCTCTTATCTAGCATAAAGCTTTAAAATAATGACCGAAGTCGATCACTGAACGGAAGGAAAAAGTAAATTTATGTTGGCCTGTGACGTCACACCGAATTACGAATGAAGCTGTTTGAATCGATGAGCTCTTTCACCTCAAAATGGTCGACGATCTGTTCATGTGAATGAAATCGAATGATGTTTTTTTCTAAATTTGATAAAAATCGTTAAGCTTGTTAAAAAGTGGCAGGATGGACTCAAAGCGACAAGAAAAATGAACAGTAAGGAAAACAATCAGTTTAACTATTTTTATGTGGTTACAGGGTGTTCGTATTTTACCTGAAGATGGAAAAAAGAGAGAAGGATAAATAAGTATGTGTGTCTGCGTTTTGGAAATCTCTAAACCAGTACGTATCTGAAAATCGGCATTTTAACTCCTTAAATTTCAGTGGTAACTATGTGTACCACCTGCTTTAACGATCAGCAACTCTGCACTCTCTCCACAGAATGTATTAAGGGGTCGCGTATGATTCCAAGCATAAACAGCGATTATTTCCTTAAACAGCGTTAACCGCTTGATCTTTGTAATGGTGAAGAGTTGTGTTTTCTTCGCGGTACGGACTGGATTCTTAAATGTTTCTCATATGAGCTTTCGGCGTCGAGGGGTTGAGCAGGATCGGGCTAGAGGGCGTACGAAACGCGCAGTTCTTGGGTTTCACGTACGCCTCGGCTGACAGAGAAGCTGCTAGATGCAACCTGCTTATTTGCTGTGCGTGGCGAATTTCATCCGATATGCAAGTCTGCGTAGGTCGACGGAAAACACGTGGAGAGACACTGTGTT